TTATTTTAATTATATTGTTTATTTTAATTATATTGTTTATTCTAATTGTTTATTTTAATTGAATTGTTTATTTTAATTAAATTGTTTATTTTAATTATATTCAAATAAAATTTTATATTGTTTATTCTAATTGTTTATTTTAATTAAATTGTTTATTTTAATTAAATTGTTTATTTTAATTAAATTGTTTATTTTAATTATATTGTTTATTCTAATTGTTTATTTTAATTAAATTGTTTTTATTTATTTGTTTTTATTTTCATTTTTAATTTCATTTGGTTGCTTTTATTTGTTTTATTTCATTCTGTATTTATAAATGGAGTGGATTCTTTTGCAACAGTTTTCGAAGCTCTTTTTGCAGAAAATGCATTCAAATAATATAATTAATTTGATTATTTATTTTAATTTATTTAATTTTTTTTGGTTTTATTTTAATTTTCAAATTTATTTTGGATGTTTTTGTTTCTTTTTTTTGCAACAGTTTTTGAAGTTCTTTTTGCAGATAATCCTTTAAAAGCGAAAAGGGTATTTATTTATTTATTTCTTTTAATTAATTAATTTATTTATTTTGATTTATTTGTTTTATTATTTATTTTTTATTGTTTTATTTATTTATTTTATTTATTTATTTGTTTTATTTATTTATTTATTTTGTTTTTTACTTTTTTATTTCATTCGATATATAAATATATATAAGTGGAGTGAATTCTTTTGCAGCAATTTTTGAAGCTGTTTTGCAGATAGGTCTTTTGAAGCAAAAAAGATAATTAATTTTATTTTATTTATTTATTTTTTTTATTTTATTTTAATTTATTTTATTTATTTCTTTATTTCAATTTGTTTTATTTATTTGCTTTATTTATTTGTTTTCTTTACTTATTTTGTTTATTTGTCTTGTTTATTTGTTTCGTTTATTTGTTTTTATTTCTGCTTTTTTATTTTATTTGTTTTTCTTTGTTTTTTCGCTTGTTTTGTATATTTATTTCTCCTATTTATTTATTTGTTTGTTCATTATTTATTTATTTATCTGTTTATTTTATTTATTTGTTTGTTCATTCATTATTTATTTTATCTATTTATTTATATATTTATTTATTTGTTTATTATTTGTTTGTTTTTTGGTTTGTTTAAAAGTGGTCTTTTGGGTCGGATGCGCTTAAGAGCGAATTGAAAAGAAATTGTTTTATTTAATGCTGCTGCTGCTTTTGCTGCTGCTGCTGTTGCTGCTGCTGCTGCTGCTGTTGCTGCTGCTGCTGCTGCTGTTGCTGCTGCTGCTGCTGCTGTTGCTGCTGCTGCTGCTGGTATTGGTAGGTGAGGAGCAAAGCAGGTTTTTTGTTTACTTTTTTGTTCAATTATTACTTTTAATTTTTTTATTTTTTGTTTTAAATTATTTGCCATTTGCGCCGAGTTTGCTTCTGCGTTTCATTTCATGTTTTATTTTTATTTATTTTATTTTAATTTTTTCTGAATTTTTCTTTTTTTCCTCTTTGTTGAATTATATTTTCCAAGTTTGTTGCATTTAAAGTTGTTTTCTGCTGCTCGAATTTGCTGCTTTTGCTGCTGTTGTTTTTGTTTTGAAATAAAGAAAAGCGCAAGAAAAAGGGTTTAGGGTTTAGGGTTTAGGGTTTAGGGCTTCTGTTTTTTAGAACTTCATCGAAAGAAAAGCGCAAGAGAGAGGGCTTAGGGTTTGGGGTTTAGGGTTTAGGGTTTAGGGTTTAGGGTTTAGGGTTTAGGGTTTAGGGTTTATGTTTTTCAGAACTTCATCGAAAGCCATGCTGCTTATTCTTTAGTTTCTTATTTGCTGCAAGTCAAAGACAGACACAACGGCAATTTGCTGCTAGACGCAGAGGGACACGTCATCCACATCGGTGAGGGTTTAGGGTTTAGGGTTTAGGGTTTAGGGTTTGCGGTTTGCGGTTTTGGGCTAGGGTTTGGGGTTTGGGGTTTAGGGTTTAGGGTTTGAGGTTTGCGGTTTAGGGTTAGGGTTTGGGGTTTGGGGTTTAGGGTTTAGGGTTTAGGGTTTGGGGTTTGCGGCTTAGGGTTAGGGTTTGGGGTTTGGGGTTTAGGGTTTGGGGTTTAGGGTTTGGGGTTTAGGGATTGGGGTTTAGGGTTTAGGGTTTAGGGTTTAGGGTGTGTGTGCAGACTACGGCTTCCTGCTTTCGAATTCTCCGGGAAATATAAACTTCGAAACCGCGCCCTTCAAGCTGACTCAAGTAATTAGGGTTTAGGGTTTAGGGTTTAGGGTTTAGGGTTTCGGGCGTAGGGTTTAGGGTTTAGGGTTTCGGGCGTAGGGTTTAGGGTTTAGGGTTTAGGGTTTAGGGTTTAGGGTTTGGCGCAGGAGTTTTTGGACGTCATGGACGGGGAAACTTCGGACAATTATGAATATTTTCGAACTTTAATTATTCGAGGGTTTCTCGAGGCGAGAAAACACGCGGACAGAATCATCTTGATGGTCGAAATGATGCTTTCCGGTGAGGGTTTAGGGTTTAGGGTTTAGGGTTTAGGGTTTAGGGTTTAGGGTTTAGGGTTTGGGTTCTAGGAGCTAGGGTTTAGGGTTTAGGGTTCACGGCTTGGGTTTGGATGGCTGGTCGCTGCTTGCGGCGCTTTGCGCCCTGCACACTTGAGGCTTTAGGGTTTAGGGTTTGGGGTTTAGGGTTTAGGGTTTAGGGTTTAGGGTTTAGGGTTTAGGGTCAGGCTGCAGCTGTTTTTGCTCAAAAAGCGCAGAACAAACTGCGAATAAACCTCCGCGTCTCTCTCCTCTTTGCGAACATCAATTAATAAATTAATTAATTTAATTATTTATTTATTTAATTATTTATTTATTTATTTATTTATTTATTTATTTATTTATTTTTTATTTTTATTTTGCAGCTTCGAAAATGCCCTGTTTCTCTGGAGGCGCGGAGTACACTTTGGGGGCTTTGAAGGAAAGGTTTTTGCTGGGCCTTGCAGAGGACGCGGTGAGGGTTTTAATTTAATTAATTTAATTTAATTTAATTAATTTAATTAATTTAATTTAATTTAATTTAATTAATTTAATTTAATTAATTTAATTTAATTAATTTAATTTAATTAATTTAATTTAATTTGTTTTGGTTTCTTTTGATTCCCCGTTTGTTCTTTTCCTTTTTGCTTTTTTTCCGCTCTTTTCCACACAGTTTGAGCCCGCCACCCAAACCCTAAACCCTAAACCCTAAACCCTAAACCCTAAACCCTTTTGTCTTTCTTTTCCTCGTTTTTAGCTGCTTCTTTTTATTCGATTTTTCTCTTTAATGTCTTTTTAATTTTCTTTTTAAATTCCATTTTTATTCTCCTTTTTATTCTCATTTTTAATTTCTTTTTTATCTTTTTCTCCAATTAATACATCTTTTTTTCTCCTTTTAATCCCATTTTAATCTCCATTTAATTTCCTTTTAATTTCCTTTTTAATCTCCTGTCAATTGCCATTTGATGTCCTTTTAAATTCCCCTTTTATTACCTTTTCTATTTCTTTTTATTTTTTTTTTTATTTCTTTTTATTTCCCTTTTTATTTCTTTTTATTTCTTTTTATTTCTTTTTATTTCTTTTTTTTATTATTTTTTAATCTTTTTCTGCAGTGCACAGAGCGAGTGGTGCAGCTGATAGCGATTTTTGTTTTTTCCATTTCTCCGTCAATTTGTGTCCTTTTAATCTCCTTTTAATCCCAATTTAATCTCCATTAAATATTCTTTTTAATATCCTTTTTATTCCCTTTTTATTTCCCTTTTTGTTCCCCTTTTTGTCCTTTTTTAATTCACTTTTTGTTATTTTTTGTCTTCTTCTGCAGTGCATAGCGCGCGTGGTGCAGCTGATAGGCGAGTTTGTTTTTTCCATTTCTCCTCCATTTTGTGTCCTTTTTCTCTCCTTTAAATCCCATTTTAATCTCCATTTTGTTATCCTTTTTAATCTCCATTTAATTTCCTTTTAAAGTCTCTTTTTTGTTCTTTTTTTAACTCTTTTATCCGCTTTTTGTCCTTTGCTGCAGTGCATAGAGCGCGTGGTGCAGCTGATAGACGTGTCTGTGAACAACTTCCGCACGGTGCAGTACGACAATTTTCAGCGGATTACAAACGGAATTCTTTGAGACTTTTTCGGATTTTCGGAATTTAATTCTTCTTTTGGAGTTCTAATTCTTTTATTTTCGAATTCTCCTCTTTTTTCTGCGCATTTTGATGTCTTTTGCTGCCAAAGTTCTTTTCTTTTCCCGCTGCTGCCCAGGTGTACAGACACCCCAGCTCCCCACACACCTCAGGTGTACAGACACCTCACCTTTCAAAACCAAACGAAGATTTCTTTTTTCCTTTTCGCCATCGGCTGTTGCTGCTGCTGCTGCTGCTGCTGCTCTTGCTGCTGCTCTTGCTGCTGCTGTTGTTGCTGCTGTTGTCTTGCTGCTGCTGCTCTTGCTGCTGCTGTTGTGTTGGTGCTGTTGCTGCTGCTGCTGTTGCTGCTGCTGCTGTGTTGCTGCTGTTGCTGCTGCTGCTGCTGGGAGCCTTCCTGCTGCGGTGGCTGCTCCAGGTGTTGCTGCGAACGCTCCCGTTGCTGCAATTGCTGCTGTTGCTGCTGCTGCTGCTGCTGCAGCTGCTGCTGAGGATTTATTACACGCGTTCAGAGTTTTTTATTTGTCACTTTATCAGTTTGAGCAGCGGGAGCAGCTGCTGTTGCTGCTGTTGCTGCTGCTGCTGCTGCTGCTGCTGTTGCTGCTGTTGCTGCTGCTGCTGCTGTTGCTGCTGTTGCTGCTGCTGCTGTTGCTGCCGAATTCTGCAACTATTTGCTTCCTATTGAGTTAGCCGATACGCGGCAACGTTGCGTAAGGTTTAGGGTTTAGGGTTTAGGGTTTAGGGTTCGGCAACTTTGCAGTATAACTGTAAACCCTGGAGGGTTAAGGGCATAACCCTCCATTCTATATTGTTAGGAGGAGAAACCCTAAACCCTAGCCCTAAACCCTAAAGCCAAACCCTAAACCCTAATTCAAAACCCTAAACCCTAGCCCTAAACCCTGCGGCTCTCTTTAAACCCTTTTCTTTAACTGGCGCATTCAGCGAAGACTCCCGAGACAGTCCCACGACTGTCTATTTATTCTCTTTCATTTTTATTTTATTTTTTATTTTTATTTATTTATTTATTTATTTTATTTATTTATTTATTTATTTATTTTATTTTATTTATTTAATTGCAGCAGCTGGTTTGCCAACTTGCATGCAGTGGGGCCCCTGGTGTTTGTTGAGTTGAAGGTGAGGGAGCGAAAGAGTGGAATTAAATGGTTTAAAAGGATTATTTTGGCAAAATAAAATTAAATTTAAATAAATTAAATTAATTTAAATTAAATTAAATTAAATTAATTCTTTTATTCGCTCATTTGGCGAAAAGCAGCAGCAGCTGCTGCTGCTGCGCTGCAGCGGGGCCCTCGGGCAGCGCGGGTCTTTGGCAGCAAATAAGTTTCTTTTTTTTCTTTTTTACTTCAAATAAAGATAATTATTTATTTGTTTTATTTATCTTCCATTTAAATCAGATCCGCTGCTGTTTGCTGCAGCCTTTCCGCGCAGACAGCGGCGCTGCAGCAGCAGCAGCAGCAGCAGCAGCAGCAGCAGCAGCAGCGACAGCAGCAGCAGCAGCAGCAGCACCATGCCTCCAGCAACAGCAGCGGCGCCGGCAGCAGCAGCGGCGCCGGCAGCAGCAGCTGCGCGCGCAGCCCCGGCTGCAGCCGCAGCCGCAGCCGACGCAGCAGCAGCTCCCGCTGCAGCAGCAGCAGCAGACCCAGCAGCAGCAGCAGCAGCAGCAGCAGCAGCAGCAGCAAAACGGCCGCCCCCCGGCTTCGGGCTGGGGCAGCTGACTCGCCACAACATCGAAGCTCTGAAGACTTTAAATGAAGCAGCAATTCCAATTCCCTACAGCGCAGACTATTACAACTACGTGGCCGAACACCCGGCCTTTTGCAGGCTGGGTAGGGTTTAGGGTTTAGGGTTTAGGGTTTAGGGTTTAGGGTTTGGGGTTTGGGGCGTAGGGTCTGGGGTTTAGGGTTTGGGAGGGCCGCTCACGGTGCAGGGCGTAGGGTTTAGGGTTTAGGGTTCAGGTTCCGGGGCGATGCCCACGGTCTAGGGTTTAGGGTTTAGGGTTTAGGGTTTAGGGTTTAGGGTTTAGGGTTTAGGGTTTGCGTGCAGCGTATTTGGGGGATGTGATGGTGGGGGGAATTACTTGTAGAGTGGAGTCTGATGAAGAGGGAAATAAACAATTGTACATAATGACTTTGGCAGTTCTCAAACCCTACCGCCGCCTGGGGATTGGTGAGCTAGGGTTTAGGGTTTAGGGTTTAGGGTTTAGGGTTTAGGGTTTAGGGTTTGGGGTTTAGGGTTTGGTGCTTCGGGGGATGGTTGGGAGGGTTTAGGGTCTAGGGTTGCGGGTTTGCGCGGGGTGTGTGGGAGGGTTAGGGTTTAGGGTTTAGGGTTTAGGGTTTGGGGGCATGCGTGGGAGAGTTGAGGGTTTAGGGTTTAGGGTTTAGGGTTTTTCGCGGCAAATTCGAATGAACTCAAATTCTTTTATTTGAAACAGTAAATAAAATAAAATAAAATAAGAAAATAAAAATAAATAAAAGTAAAATAATAAATAAAAAATAAAAAGTAAAACACTTTTCAGTTTCTTTGAACTCCCACTCTATCCCTTCAAATGACAATTTATTCAATTTAATTAATTTAATTAATTTAATTAAATTAATTAAATTAATTTAATTAATTTAATTAAATTAATTATAATTAATTAATTTAATTTAATTTAGTTAATTAAATAAATTAATTAAATTAATTAAATTGTTTGTTTTCAGCCACTCAACTGTTGGGTTACATTTTAGAAGAAGCGTCTCGAAGAGAAGATTTAAAGAAATGCGTTTTGCACGTTTTGAAAAGCGACGAGGGGGCATTAGGGTTTTACGAGGGTTTAGGGTTTAGGGTTTCGGGTTTTATTGAAAACTTCTACCAAGAACTAAACCCTTCTGCTGCTCTTTGCATGCACTGTTCGCTCCCCTGGACCCTCGCCAACAAACTCGCCTTCCAAACCCCCGAGTTCGACGCCACCAAACACAACTTGCAAACCCTAAACCCTAAACCCTCGCAGCAGGCCCTGCGGGCTTAGGGTTTAGGGTTTAGGGTTTGCGGATTCGCACAAACTTGAAATTAATTAATTGATTTCCTTTAAATATATTTACTTTGTTTTATTTAAATATAATTCTTTTTTAATTATTATTTGCGTTTTAATTCGAACTCGAGGGTGCTGCTGCTGCAGATACACCGCAACGAGACCTCCTAGTGTCAGCAAAGTGGATTTTTCGGAATTTCGCAAATTAAATGCATTTCCGATTTATTAATTTGGCATTTTAGATTTAAAATGCATTTTTAAATCTTTTAGAGTTTATTATTTCATTCTCTAGCCGCAGAAGACCTTCTGAAAAGGCACTTTTCGAGTTTATTTGCAAGATAAGGAGGCGGGAAGGAAAGGGGTGTTTTTCGCGGAGCCGCTGGGGGGAAATCGCGCGAAAAAAGCCATTTAGGACTCTTTTTTATTTTAATTCTGAATTTAATTCTTATTTTTGAAATAAAAATGAATTTAATTCCGAATTTGGCCGCGAGACACCAAAGGCGCGCAGCGCGAGGTGTCTGTACAGCACAGCGCGCGCGTTCAGGGTGGGTGTTGGGGTTTTGCGGGTTTTTGGATTTAATTTCCGTCAAATGTTTCCCTTTTGATTTCTTTTTGCGTTTTGGAGTTCATTTAATTCTCTTTTTGTTGAATAAATAATAAATAAATAATAAACTGCGGAGTTCTTCGACTTGCTCCCCGCGAAGTCCAGCGCAGCCGCTTCGAGTGGAACCAACCACCAGGCTGTTGCTGCATGCATCGCCCAGTCTTTTCTTTCCAAACTTCTCCAGAAAGTTTATTTTGAATTATTTAATTCATTTATTTCATTTCGAAACTTTTAAATCCACTTTTCTCCGAAGATCGTTCAGCTTTCCCGGCGGCGCAGCGCTCGCGGCGCCGAAGTCTTTCGGGTGTATGCGCCACCGGCTTCCACCTCAGGCCTTTTTGAAGAAAAGAATTTTCACTTTTTTTAATTCATTTAAATCATTTTTACAAATTAAACCTCCACACGGAGTTAAAAGGCCTCATTCGCGCTATTTCCGCTGGATCAGCAGCAGCAGCAGCAGCAGCAGCAGCAGCGCAACAGCGGCAGCTGCAGCAGCAGCAGCAGCATGCAGGCGGCAGCAACAACAGCAGTAGCAGCAGCTGCGATAACAGCAACGGCAGCAGTAACAGTGGCACCAGCAGCAGCAGCAGCAGCTGCTGCTGCTGCGACACCTATAACAGCAGCAGCAACAGCAGCAACAGCAGCTGCAGCAGCAGCAGCAGCAGCAGCAGCAGCAGCAGCTTGCGTGGCCAAAGGCAGCTGCAGAAGCACAGAGCCATTAAAGCATGCATTTAATTCAATTGATTCTTAACTTCAAAAAATAATAAAACAAAATGAAATAAAAACAAAATAAAATAAAATAAAATAAAATAAAAATAAAATAAAATAAAATAAAATAAAATAAAAATAAAATAAAATAAAATAAAATAAAATAAAATAAAAATGATTTCTTCATTTGCCAGTGCTGCTGTAGATACACCGTAGCGCCGCTCAATTTCACCGAAAAGTCTTTTATGAATTTTAGTTCATTTATTATTTATTATTATTTATTAATTTTTTATTTATTTATTTATTTATTATTATTTATTATTATTATTATTTATTATTATTTATTATTTATTATTTATTTATTTATTTATTTATTTATTTATTTATTTATTTATTTATTTTTTTGTTTTTTGAAAATTCAAAATGAGCTGCAGCGCTGTGGCAGCTTTGGCAGTTTTTAGTTTGAGTGAAAAAGTGCTGCTGCACTTCCACTTCAATGAGCTCTTCGAGCTGCAGCAGCAGCAGCTGCTGCTGCTGCAGCAGCTGCAGCAGCAGCAGCTGCAGCAGCAGCAGCTGCAGCAGCAGCAGCTGCAGCAGCAGCAGAAGCAGCAGCAGCAGCAGAAGCAGCAGCAGCAGAAGCAGCGCCTGCAACAACAACCGCAGCAGTTTTTGCAGGGGCAGCAGCAGCAAGGGGGACGGACTTAAGTGCAGCAGCAGCAGCAAAAAGATACAAAGTAATTAAAAGTCCTTTTTCTGTTTTTATTCAAAAAGACAAATCTCAAAAGTTTGCTTTTGCTGCTGCTGTGGACTTGGACAAATGTTCACAAGCTGCAGCTTTCCAAACCCTACAAGTAAACCCTAAACCCTAAACCCTAAACCCTAAACCCTCGGTCTCAAACCCTCGGGCCAGCCCTCCCACGCGGCCCCACAGCAAACCCTAAACCCTAAACCCTAAACCCTTAAGTCTGGGGCTGCAAGTGGTGTCTTCCGACGGCTGCGCTGTAAACCCTAAACCCTAAACCCTTATTTCAACCCCTTGGGCGTAAACCCTAAATAAGGGTTTTGTTTTTGTCTCCTCAGGATTATGAAAGAAGAATAGAGGAAATACTTGGAGGGGAGCTGCAGCACGAGCCCTTGGAAAGGGTTTTAGCTGCTGCTGCTGCTGCTGCAGCAAGCGTTTGCGGCAGTCCAGCAGCAGCAGCAGCAGCAGCAGCAGCAGCAGCAGCAGCAGCAGCAGCAGCAAAGCCGCGCAGAGCAGGCGAGGTTAAAATACCTGTTGATGCAGCTGCAGCTCAGCCAGCAGCAGCAGCAGCACCAGCAGCAGCAGACGCTGCAGCAGCAGCAAAAGACGCTGCAGCAGCAGCAGCAGCAGCAGACGCTGCAGCAGCAAAAAAACAACGCGCAGCAGCAGCAGCTTTTTCTTTTCTTTTGGGGTTTTCAATTGCTGCTTATGCAGTTTACTCTTTAGTCAAATCCTTTCTTTAGTGCTGCAGCAGCTAAATCCATTTATATTTTTATTTGTTTTTAGATTTATAATTATAATT